AATGAGTCACATCTGTGTGCACAGTGCGAGCTGTTAACTGGGAGCTGCCCTTCGGACTTGATAATAACAGAGTCAAACTACCCCTCGCAGCTCTCTACACCACCCCACAAACACGCCCACTTCTTCTCTCTTGATAGATGGAGCCTGATTTTGTTCAGATGGCAGCGTGTTCAGGGAGGGCAGACCCTTTCTCAAGCCCTAGGAGGTGCACTATGATGAAAAGGCATGAAAACTCTTATTTCCCCTTTGCTGATGATTAGTTTAGGGAAGAACTTTTAATCTAGTTCTAGCTAATGACAGCCTGCAAATTTAACTTAAATTCTGCAAAGTATTGGGTCCCTTAATGAGAGGAAAAGCAAGAGAGTACGCTGTACCTCTTCTTGCCCTGAATGTAGTTATCAGAGGAGATGGTTGGTGCTCAGCGTGCCATCTTAGGGCCTCCAGGAAAAGGTATAACATCCTGACAGTGAGTGAACAAAAAGAGAGAAAGGTCTTGAGTCCCTGAAGACGCCGGTAGTTCATAGCTCCGATCCCAGAACCAGCTTACTGTGGACTAGTCAAGCATCTCAGATGCTCAGGCTACTGTTGGTGCAGCTGAGAACACCTGACAAACCTCATGGGTCTGGTTCTGATTTTCTCACCACAGGACATCTGCTGCCACACCCAGTAGATTCAGTCGTGGTCTAGTTACCATTTCTGCCATCTAAAGTTGCTTTTTGATCAGTTTCAAGTTCTTGTTCTGTATTTTTCGCTTGGTAGAACCCACAGCCTTTAATCACATATCAAGAAAACTTGCTTGAGGTTTTTGAGATTTTGATGTTTGTTTTCCTTTATTGTTGTTGATCATTGAAAACATTTAAATGGTACAAAAACAATAAACTTGGATATAAATGTAGCTCTCATTTCCTTCCAGATTTCTTTTTTCAGGTTATTCAATGATTGGCTCCATATACACTAACATCTCCTGAGAGCTTACCCTATGCCAGGCTCTGTTCCCTCTGTAAGAGTTACTAAGCAGGTGTTAATGTGACTCTCGCAAAGTTCCGTTATTTGAGACAGGAACCATAAAGGGACAGAGAGTCCCGGTGTGGGGTGGTGGCAGAGACAATATGAACCTAGAGAGTTCAACTCCACAGTCCACCAGACTGTACTGTCTCCACTGTGGTACATAGTAAATACTTGTTAAATCAACAAATGTATTTTATTGTTCAAAAGTTTTAAATTTGTATAATCAAACTTGACAGTATTTTTCTGTATGAGTTCAGGCCTTAGTATCATGCTAAGTGAGGCAATTTAAATTCTTAAACAGGTTAATTACTCAGGTTATTTATTTTAACTTCCAGGTTTCCAAAACATACCATTTTGTCATAGCAACATGGTCATACGTTTCTAGCACTTTCTCAATGGTGCAGCCAAGCATTATTGTACACATTAGAAAATCAATTCTTCAAATTGTTAATTAATTGATATGGGCAGAAGAATTCTATCACACAAAACACTGCTTTGACATGTCTAATAAATTTATCTAACATTAACACGGTTACAGTTAGAAACAATGACTTACTGCATTTACTTTCATTTCCTTATTCTACCTGAGTGAGATGCTACGGCACCTCACGTGGGGCTCATGTTATGAGAATGCCATGCTACTGGTAATTAACAGGGAAACCTGGTGGCATCCAAGTGTCTCTGAAAGACTGTTGATGGATGAACAATGGACATAAAAGACCTAGCATCTTGCTAAGAATCGTTTACCATGTTTGCAATAATAGCTCATTTTCAAAGGACTGTCAAACAAAAGGATCAATCATTCATTCATTGTACCTGGCACATGAGGCTGGCTGGCCAGAATGCTATATTCACAGCCTTAACTGACAATAATGCTTCTTCTCCTGTCTTTTCAGGATTCCTGTCATCCTCCCTGGAATTTGAAACGATTACAATTATTATTTTAATTTATAGCCAGCTTTTTACAAAAATGCACCCACTGAAGTTTTCATAAAGGTACCAGCAAGTACCATAATTATGAAGTACCCCAGCAACGAATGAATACTCCAAAAGTATATTAGTTTCCTAGGGCTGCCATCACCAAGTGCCACAAACTGGATGGCTTCAAACAACAGAAATTTGTTCTGTCACAGTTCTGAAAACTAGAATTCTGATGTCAGATGGCAGCAGAACCATGGTCTCTCTAAAACCTGGGACAGAACCTTCCTTGCCTCCTCCTACCTCTGGTGGTGGTCGTCAGTGCTTGACATCACTCCAAGCTCTTGTCTTGTTGCCTCTGTCATCACCTGGGGCTCTCCCTGTGTGTTTGTGTTCAAACATCTCTCTTAAGAGTATAGCAGTCATATTGGATTAGGGCCCATGCTAATGAACTTGTTTTAACTTGATTACATCTACAAAGACCCTATTTCCAAATAAGGTCACATCCCAAGAACTGGGGGTTGGGGCTTCAACATAGATTTTTGAGGGACACAATCCAACCCATAACAGATAGGATATATGTAAACACACCTTAGAGAGAGAATGTTTTCAAGGTCAGGATCTGGAAGAGTTTGCAGATTATCTGTAGCTACTTTATCAGTCTCCATATAAAAAATAGCATGTGCACAGAAGGGAAGTGGTTAGTAATGGAAGCCTAGAAATATCTAAAACTAGACAGCCAAAGACAGGTAGGTGAACGCCCCATGGTTCATGAAGAGTTGTTTTATTGTAAATGTCCCTTACATGTGAACCATGACACACTCTCCTTGCTGGATTCTAAGCTCACCTAACAATTTTTCAACTTACTTTGGTCATAACAGGAATTCCTCTCATAGGGAAAGAGCAGAGGACAAGTCTGCACTTATGTCATTATTAGTTAACAGATCTGAGTTGGGGTTTATGCATCCGTATTTTATGAGTCAGGTTAATGGGGCTCCATCCTGAAAGGCTGGTCAGCTGTAGGAGCCCAGAATCAATCCGATGATTTACAGTTTAAATACTGAAAGTGCATAATCTAGAAATGATTCTATTTGCATGGAGAGTAACCTGATATATTGAGGATTTAATTATTCTATGAATCAGAAGCAAGGTCCTTATAAAAACAACCTTTAGGACACAACTTTGCAATCTTGAATGAGGGCTGTATGAATAGTCCAATGTTCTGACCTCGTATACCGCTAAGGCTACCAGATGAGATGCTATGAAAGGGGAACAATGAGAGATGTGGAGGGTTCTGGTGTCCTTGAATCATACAAAGTTGACACCGCTTCCTTGCTCTAGCCCTGAGATCTCTGCCTCTAGTTTCCGTTGCTGCTCAGATGTCTGTTACTTACTTCCTCTTTCTCTCATTTTGATTCTTCACTGTGTGCTGGTACTTTACATGCTGACAACTGTATGTTCTTCCCTCTTTCAACATCCAAGGCCCTGCGCAGCCTGACCTTGCCTCTCATCTCTCTTAAGCACACAAGTGTTCTTCCCTACGGTACTGCTGACTACGATGGCTGCCACCAACTGCACTTGTTTCCTGGGGCACTCACCTGACACTTAGCAAGTGACAGAAAGCTGATTAGGCCTCTCTGTGGGAAGAGAACATCCCTTCTTTTACATCTCAGTGCTTAGCACGATCTTGAAGTAGAAAAGTGCCCAGTACAGGTGTGTTTGAGATACAATACAAAATTCGGCATTACAGTGGAAATTTACTGTGGCTCAGAATCCAGTTTGATAACTTGCCAAAAGACTAATGTATAGACTCACGAATGTCAGGTTATTTATTCACTACTAGGCTTATTCATTTCCTTTCCCTGTCCCAAATCAGAAAATACCTCCTGAACATGAATGGATAAACCCTGCCTGTATCTTATTTTTTAATCTTGCTCAGAATTGACCCCACACTCCTGCGGATCCTCACACTCATCTTTCACATGTATGAATCCTTCAGATTTAGCAAAATGAGATATATTCCACTCAATAAGAAACGCTTCCCTCTCCTCCTATCTGCTTTGAGTTTATATCTAATCAATCTGATTATAGTTTGAGTTCTCAGACATTTTAGTTGTCAAATCTCTTGTTCCACTCTGATAGGTTAAACGCACACGTTGCATGGGGATTTTTACTCATTTAGCTGTCAGAGCTCAATCTTATTGTCAAGCTGGTGGGTGTTCTGCTATGTCATCTTTAGTGACACACTTTGAACAGGGCTCTGAAGTGGGAGGAGTGGGCACTGCTGTTTCAAGCCCCCTCACCTGAATACACGTGTTTTTGTTGTTGTTTGTTCCGTTGTTGTTTTTTTACCAACCTTCCCCCCTGTGGGCGAGCAGGCCACCTCCCTGACCCTGGCATTTGGTCTTGTCAGACTAGATATGTTCCGGGACTTTTTGAAGCAGAGTTATCTTTCCCCGAACTCTTCAAATTCCTGGCCCTCAGCACAGAGCTTGGCGAGTCTGGTGAAGCCCTAAGGGTGATGGCGAAATTGGACAGTGTTCCTTTAAGGCAGGAATCAAGGAGGGAGCCGGGGTATCCATGGTGGACCCAGCCCCGAGCGGCGGGAGCTGCAGTCGGCCCAATTAGCAGAGAGCTAGGCAGGGCTTTGTTAGCTTAGCAACCGCCGCTGGGTCCCGGGGGCCGTCGGGGTGTCTCCGCGGGCGAGGCCCCAGTCCCCACCTGGGCCGCGGTGGGCGGCAGCCTCTGCACCCCGGCTCTGGGGTCGCAGGGCACCAGGGCAGAGGGACACTGCGTGCGGAGGGCGGTGGTGGCCCCGCAGCCTGGGCGCTTGCGGGTCACTGGGCTTCGGGAAGGTCCGTCTCCAGGGTACGGAGCTGAGCGCCCGGGACGTTTCCCTGCGTGGGGAGCGCGCCAGAGGCCCCGGGCCCCGCGGCACACTGGGCCCCCCGGACCCCCGCCGCCGTCTGGCGCCGCCTCCGGACCCCTAGGAGCGCGGCGGATGGACCCCAAGCCCGGCTCCCTGCGGTCTTGAGGTCCCAGCAGCAGCGGGACCGCATTTCCAAGGCTGGGACATGAAGGTCGCTGTGTTGGACCTTGGCTCTCTCTTTGCCAAAATCTTCAAGACCTCGACGGCGCCCCCGTCGGTCGCCTCCTCCAGCAAATCGGAAGGCGCTGCCGCCGCAGGGCCGGCGGGCACAGCACTTAGCACGGCCCCCGCCCCGGCCCTGCTCCCCGCCGCGGAGCCCGGCTCCCGCTCCACCTCGCCCGGGGCGCCGGCCGCGCTCCAGCCTCTGCTCGCCGCCTCCCACCCCCGGATCGCGCGCCGCGCGCCGCCAGCAGTGGGGATCCCCTTCTCCCTGCCCAGTAGTCCCGGAGCAACTAAAGTCCAGCCCCAGCCCCAGGCCCTGCCCCTGCCCCCCTCCGGTGGTGGTGGCAGCACCGCGGGCTCCCCCGCCCACCTGCTGGCGCTGGCGCGGCCACCCCGGGGCCCTGGCGGGGTCTGGGCCGCGCTGCCGTCGATCGGGGGCGCCACCGGCAGCAGCAGTTTAACCTCGAGCCCACGAAACCCCTGCCTGCCTGGCCCCGGAGACCGAGAGCCCAGCGCTGGGATGCCCCCCGGGCCTGGCCCCAAGACCCTGTTCTCCACCCTGCCAGACATCGGTGAGGAGTGGGCCTCAGACAGCGACTCGGAGGGCGGAGACGCGTGAGTAGCAGCAGGGCCCCCTCCTGTCTGTCTGTCCCTGAGACCCCTGTCTCTCCGCCTGCAGCAGCCGCCTCGCCAGGCGCCCGTTAGAAAACTGTGCTGTTTGCATTCACTTCCACCAACTCCCCTGGGCACCCTCCTTGCCCGTTTCCTGGGTCTCGATGTCATGCCTTTCTGTTCTCTTCCAACCCGCTGTGACAGGCTTTTGCTCAGCTCTCTCGGAGACACACTTCTCTGCTGTTCACGGGGGAGCAGGCATGCAGATGAAGGGGGCTTGAAGGAAACAGGGCAGAATCGTGTCTCTCTTCAGCTGAGCGTTGACATACTGTTGAGAGTCTGGTTTTCTCTAGGACTGTGAAGGGAGCCTCGGGTCCCTGTCTCTAATGCTGACTATGGTAGGTGTGCAGGGTAACTGAATACACACGTGGGCAGCTTCGATGGTAAGAAATGGTACCTCCCTGCTTTTCAAGGGTCAGCCCCAATTCTGATCCCAAATTGGATGACTTTTCTTGGTGTGACATTAGTTAATTTACATATGTATAACAGCATCCGACACCAAGGGAGTTTGTAACGCTCAGGACACGTCTGATGTGTACCACAGAGCTCCTGACTTCTTGCAAAGTGCCTCGAGGTGCTCCAACCTTTGACTTTTCACTGGGAATGGGGGGGCATTTCTCTCAAAATACACACATACAGGCACACACATCTTTTCACCACCAAAAGCAGTAATGAAAACATTCTTATAAAATGTGCATTTTAAAATTAAAGTGAATTTTATTTTTTTAATGAACAGTTAAGTGGGTACAAAAATATTCAGCTTTCTGAATTCTACAATAGTGAATGATGAAAAGCAGACCAGAAGGGCCCATTCCGAATGGAGATTCTGCCTTATAAACTAGTGAAGAAACAATAGTCAGTCCTGCTAATACAGAAGGCGAACCCCCCCCCCACACACACACACACCCCTTCACTAAAAATAAATTAACTAGAGAACTTTTGCATTAAGGCTGATTCTGACCCATTCACAATTTAAATAATTACATTTTTAAACAACTGTATGGCATTCATCTTAGTGCTAAAATACAGTTAAGTAAGTTGTTTCTTTTCATTTAAAATAGTGCAGTATAAAATACATGAATCAACCGACTTTTTTTTTCCTAAGGAAAGTCAGTTGCATTTGGATAAGTGGCTAAAATTCGTGTGCATAAGGAATTAGACCTTTGTTATTGGCTACTGGTCCTTAACATTTATGCAATCAATGTTTTATGAGCAAACAGATCTACACACTGATCGTAAACTAGTCTTAGTGCTTTTTACAAACAGGCCCTGAAGCCCATAAATGTGGTGAGTGAAAGAACTAGTGTTGGTTTACATGCTTGAGCATCTTTGTGTTGTCTATGTTTGTATTGTCTACACATTTTTAACAGATGCTTTTTAAATAATACTGTATTTGGCATTACTGACACAAGTGGCTATTTTGCATTAGCAAATGTATCGATTTTACTAAAAGTGGAGTCATTGAATTGTAGATAATTGCTATGAGAAATAATAAGCACAGATATGTACATTCAAGGAATTTCCTGGTAATAAATTTGTACTCTCTGTAGGACATCAGAAAGCTTTCTGAGTATACCAGTTTGTTTGTTTGTTTGTTTGTTTGTTTGTTTGTTTGTTTGCATGCACAAATAGCCATATTCCTCTTCTTTCATATCTTATTCCTTTTTTAAATTATAAAGTGTACAAAGGGGAAAGGAAGGAAATATTAAGGTGGTTTTTCCTTTAATACTACAGACCTTTTGCATCTTGAAGAGTATTTTTCCCCTCTTGGATTTCTGGGGTGACTATTTATAATGTTGAGTATACAAACATCATTAAACAATGGATTTAAATCATACAACTACCACCTCATCTACCAGTTTGCAGATAATTTATTAGCCTGCTTGATTAATATTAAAATAGTGTATTTAGTTTCTAAAGCCCAGAGACCTGGAGAACGATGGTGGTTAAAGTAGGGGTAGAAGCAGGACACCTCCAACTTGGTCCTTCTGTCTCAAGGTTGCTTTGGCTATTTGTGGTCTTTTGTGATTTCATATAAATCTTAGGGTTATGGATGAGCCTAGCAGGTATTATACTAAGTGAAATAAGTCAGACAGAGAAAGACAATTACCATATGGTTTTACTTATATGTGGCATTTTAAAACAACAACAAAAAGTGAAGAAAAAACAAAGCAAAAACAGGCTGAGAAACAGAACAGAACAACGGTACAAGAAGGGAGGAGATGGGGGATGGACGGGAAAAGGGAAGGGAAATATAGTCAATAATATTATCATAAGTAGCATGGTGACAGATATTACTAGATCACATTGTAAGGTATAAAAATGTCGATTCACTAAAGTGTACACTTGAAACTAATGTAGCTAATATAATATTGTATACGAAATATACTTACGTAAAAAACAAAGTAGGAGCAGGAAGAAAAAAGTGTAGGCAGAGAGGATGTGTCAACATGTACAGAAATGTGAACAGATTCTTGAGAAACATTAGTCTAATTTTAAGACCATTACACTCAGTTACAAAGCAAAACCCTCCTTCACAGTCTATACTTTTTTGAAGAAAGCTTGTGCATTTTACATTGGGCCTGATCATGATGGCCTTTGTTAAAACTAAAAACAGTGAAGTTAATTTGGGGGAGGGGGCTAACATGCAAACTTTCAATTCAGAGTCTTTTTTCCCCTTTCACTAAGGTGCTATATAGCAGCATGAGTTTTGATCTGTGACAAAGGAACGGCCGTGGAAATGGGTTTACCCTTTCATTCCGCAGGGCACGCTGGCTGCTCACACCTGAACCAGAAGTGGAGGATATTGAGTTGCCTTCTTTACCCCCCTCTCCTGCACCCCGATATGTGATCCAGTACCTTCACCCTCACCTGCCATGTGGTTCATCTGTACTTTGTACCTCGTTTACACTGCTTTTCCATCTCAGCCATCCCTCTTTGCTACCTCCATTTGCACTTCAGGTTTGAATCACACAACCATTATCTTGTAATAGGTTTTATTCTCTGTTTGTTTTGGAAGTAGAATTTCTAACAATAGATAGGGTTGGTCAGTAGATAGAAATTACCATTTGAGGCAGCATGGAGAGACCTGGAGAGCATTATACTAAGCGAAATAAGCCAGTCGGAGAAAGACAAATATCACATGATCTCACTTATATGTGGAATCTTATGAACAAAATAAGCTGTCAAACAAAATAGGTCCAGAGACATGGAAGCAGGAAACAGACTGAGGAACCTCAGAGGGAAGGGAGAGGGGGCAGGAAGAGATAAAACAAATAACTTGTGTGCATATAGGCATAACCCATGGACACAGACAGCAGTGTGGTGAAGGCAGGGGGAGGGGAGGGGAGCTGGGAGGAGGGGTTCAATGGGGAGAAAAAAGGAAGAACATCTGTAATACTTTCAACAATAAGGATAAATTTAAAAATAAATAAAATAAAACACATTTTTAAATTTCAAAAAGGTAATTGCAATATAATATAGAAATGTTGGTAGATTGTAAACATGTGGTCAGGAAGTATTTATATCTTTTCTAAGTTATTACTGTTGGCCTATGCTTACTGCTATTTTGAGTGAGTGAGTTCCATTGTTAGAGTCACGTTGGCGTGGAAATATTGCAGTGATGGCCTGCAGGGTTTGTTAGCTTGGCTGGCAATAAAGTGAATGCAGGGTCTTATCTTTCAATTCATTGGTTACTTGGGGCAACCTAGAGTTGGAGCGATGCCTGTGGACCAGGAATCAGAAGAGTTGGTTTCTTCTAATCTCAAACCACTTGCTATCCTGTAATTCTGGGCAAATTATTTAGTTTTCCAAACTGTAGACTCCCACCATGATAAGATGGAGATAGTGATAATACTTTCCTCACAGGGACTTCCAAAAATTAATTAAAATAATATTTTGAGTGCCTAAATCGTAGTGATCTATGATTACTATCTGCTCCTTGGCTCAGAAATGAAATTTGAGAGCTTGTTTCATTGAAGGATACATACATTCCAGGTGAAGACAAGGGTGAAAAAAATAATTCATTTACATTTATCACATGTCTGTAAAACATGACATCTTTTAGTTCAGTTATTTGGGAGAAGACATGAAGAATGCTATAATCTTCCATCATGCTTCCTGAACAGCTTGCGGAAGATAACAGTTTCTTTAATTAGCATCACCACTGTTTGCTGTGCAGTACCTAGAAGAAATGTCTGCCACCCTGGGATCCAAATGTTAATTTTTAATTTTTAGCAAAAATGAAGAATCATCAGTAGTATCACACACCAACACAATTCACCCTTTGTGTACCTCCTGCCCATTTCTACCCGGTAATCCTTTGATTTAGATCATACTTTATATCCATTTGAGACTACGGACTTTTGTCTGCTCTATGACACTTAAGGCAACACAGGCCCAGAAAAGACATTTAATAAAATGTATTAAATGAATGCATGAAAATCTTTTCTTTCTCATATAATCCATTCTCACGGGTTCCTAATCTTCTAAAAATCTAGAGGCAATTTAAATGCCTTTCTTTAGGAATAATTGTTGTCTCGGGTCTTTTTGTTTCGTCATCTTGGAGTTTTCCCAAAGTTAGCAATGCTTTCTGCTGGGACTCTGTGTTTCACAGGGACGAATGGTGAGCTAGTACACAGTGGTCATGGCTGTTACCTTCTATTAAAGTCAGATGACCATTATTTTCATTAAAAATAATAATAAACTTGACTTGGTTGTCCACGGCTAACATTTGCTTAAACCTAGAAAAACAATTTTGTTCTTCCTACCTTTTGCAATTGATTTTTTAAAATTTATTTTTATCATTGAAAGTATTACAGATGTCCCATCATTTCCCCCTCATTGACCCCCTCCTCTTCCCTAACTGGGCCTTCCCCACACTATTGTCTGTGTTCATTGGTTATGCATACATGCATACATGCATATAAGTTCCTTCATTTATT